CCATGCACATTGAATAAATATACGGGTAAAAAAATTATCCCTGTAACAGGCCGTGAAGGCCCACAGAGTTGTGAGACGTCGAGGCTCATACATTTTCTCTAGAAAATCGGCTCATAGATGGCAGTAAGGTTGTCAGCCTTACGTGCCGGCCGCCCTTTGCTACCCAGGAAGATTCCTGGTACTCATTTCTGTTAGAGGCTGAGTCGACCCCAGGACAATAGTGAAAAGTGAAAAGTCCAGTGTCCTCATCGGGAATCGAACTCGTAATCTTCCTGCTTTTAACATAGGGCCTCAACCAACTGCTCTACCCGAATAGACGGGAAATAGATACATGTTTTTGTTAGAACTGCTGTTCTGGAAACTAGGAGGAAACATTAATTCTGTGTAATGTAACTCTCATAATGGGCCCCAATATTTGTATCATCATTGCGATAAAAGAATGATTGTTCACCTGTAGTTGTCTTGTCCACAAGTTCCAGGACGTTCCGCCATCGCAGTGTCGACGAGGAAGAAAAGAAAAGAGAAAAGAGCTTCAGTGGGGAACATCTCAGCTTTAGAAACCAACAGAATTGTCTCGTCTGTGGGGAAGGGGCGTGGAGTACAATATAGAGATGGAGGTATTATTTTTGTTACTGGGTCTTGGTGGGAGGAGGAGGCAAGCTGAGAAAGAAGCAAGATGGATGGCTTGCAAGGGCATGCAAAATAACAGCTTATTTCTCAGATAAACATCTTCCTGTGCCTGAAGTTGAATTTTGAAATCTTGGCAAGTGCTTTACTTTCCACAGTGTAAAGACTATATTATAGGTTTTACGGACTTTTACATGCAGTTACTGCCACCCTTACAGAATCGTATTTTCCTTTGTAGTTTTGACCGCACTGCATGAAGACATGACACTACATATTTTCGTCTATAAGAAGGGTGTAAAAGCAAAGATATCCCTGTAACGGGCCGTGGAGCAATATGTTGAAAAAGACGGAACAGACACCAATTTATAAAGTATGATGAAACTTGAAAAATGAGCGGTTTCCCTGTTTACGTGTGTGTAATCAAGAAAAATGAGAAGGGAGGGACATGTAGCACGCATGTGTGGAATAGTAAATCTACGAAATTTTTGTAAGTAAGCCTTAAGGGATGGGACGAATTGGTATACCAAATTTTTGTAAGTAAGCCTTAAGGGATGGGACGAATTGGTATACCAAAGTTAGTAATAGCATTTCCTTCATAAACATCAGAGGTTAAGCTGTCATTAGGGGAAGCGTCAACTAATCCTCGTTACCGAGGACGCAGATAATGGTAAGCTAGTTGTATCGAGTTCATATATCATTGATATGGTCTTTCCTCTGAGAAAATAAAAACGTGATTAAGTGACTGTAGACGGGGTTTATATGTGTAAATATATTTACTGAGCACTTGAAAATCGTAACTACAGTTTCCTTTGTATTCACAAGTCGTTGCCTGGTGACGGTTCTCAGCAATATTCTCAGCCCCTGTGCTCACTTTCATATCGGCTGTAGACTGTCCCACAATTAGTGCTCAAATTGTCATGGTTATAATATCTCGGCACGGATAGCACAGAAAACACATTTCCTCTGTTGCTGTTCAATTGTTAAGCGGATCGGCAGAAAACACTTTTTTTCCGGGCCACTGATTAACAACGGCTGGTATACAGTAGCCGCGTAGCAACGGGTCTACACTCCACCGTATGCTGTTTGGGCGACAAGCATATTGGTTTTGTACGTAGAATACCATCTTTAGGGCCAGAGGGTCTTGCACGTCTCAGCGCGAAGCCATGAGACGTATTTTATCGGAAATTATGCCACATTATGAATGGAACATCCTTGGTCTTCATTTTTGACCAAATGCCAAAAGAGATCCTTGAAAATTATTGTTAGTTGATTGAGATGAATTTAAAATGAGGATAAAAGAACGGAGTATGAAGTGCCGCCGTATAATTATCGCTGGCATAATGAACAATTAAAACTGCAATCAGCTCAAGTCTGCTTCAGTAGGAACAACCAGCTTTCTTTGTGTTCCAGAAACCTTAAAGTTTTTATTTCCTTTTAGCCATTAAGAAGTTCTAGTCTTGAATACCGGAAGATTAGAAGTTTTTTCAATGGGACGCTCTAAATACGCCAGAAACATTACACCTTCTCACTCCCTTTCCAGATCCATCCATTGCAGGTAATAGTTTTCCTGAAACTCAAGAGCTGTACTTAAAGTGCTTTAAAGTTTCGTACGTTCTAAGACTCTCTGAGGAAATATGAACTTCTTCCTTCTACACACACACACATATATATTGACTTCTTGGCTAACACGAACACAACTGTGCTTCCTCAACCACCCTTCTAATCTGATCTGGCTCCGGCAGACTTTATCTTGTTTCACAAACTGAAATAACAAATCAGTAGCGATGCATGAGCTGGCGCATTGTGATGATGGAGGAAGCAGGAGTAATTTCTCCAAAACTGAGGTATTTTTCTCCTGACATTTTCTTTTAGACGTTTCAGCACTTCGAGATAATACCAGCGATTCACTGTCTGCTCCGGGCGTAAAAATTCATGATGCCAACACTCTCGGTGTAAAATAATTGTCATCATGACTTTCACGCTCATTAGTATCAGCCATCTCGAATATCGCAAGACACACTCTACAAGCACGTGAACAAATAGTTTAGGGCGATGAGTAACCATAGCAGAATGACGCGGCAAAAGGATGATAATTAGGAAGTTGGCGCGCAATTTCAAAAGTTCCGAAATATTTTGAACACACCACGCACTACCTTATAAACACTTGTGGGGTTAGTGGAGGTAAATGGATGAAGATGAGTATAGTGCTTCATAAAATCAAGTTTCCGTGTTTGATTATTAGCCGAAGACCAACTAGTTTACTCAGTCCCACCAATCAGATACTTCAAACCAATTTTGGAATTGATTTTATGAAATGGCCTTCAGAGCTGCCTGATGTCATCAGTGTCATCAAAATGCTTCCTTTCAATATTTCCTTTATCTTCGGGAGCAGAAAGAAGTTATTGGGGGCTAGATCCGGTGAATAGGGAGTGTGTTCCAGCACAGTTATTTGTTTACTAGCTAAAAACTCCCTCACAGACAGTGCTCTAATTCAAGCTCCGACATTCTCGAGACAGTACACAAAAACACACACAAACAATAATAGACGCCACTCAGAAAGAGACTGACATAGATCAACAACAACACAGCTGTGAAACACTGATATGCTATAAACTGGTTGAGTCTATGCGAAAACGCGTCCAGGAAGTCATTTTAGTAAAACTGGAACAAATTTCTTACTAAAATTGTGTGAGAGAATTGAAGTTGAAGGCTTAGAATCAACAAATGTCAAAAATATTTTTTTTTCATTCTATCCCAGTTAATTTGCACACCTTTGTATAAAATATATAAATTTTGTACCCATATAGAGGAGACGACAGCCAAAATAAGTTGCTCACACGCACACTATGACGCTGAAATACAATATTCCTAACGGTTCATGTAAATTAATTTCCCAATATGTGTTTTAGAACATAACAGTGTGAGGCTACACATGCGAATGCTTTGAGTGGGCGGGGTTGATTTACGGTGTATCAAACAAAGTGTGTACTCTGCTCGCACGGTGTTCTCCAATATTGGGCTTGTACTGGTAATAACCCCCGGTCACTCCCTCGGAGTTTAATGAAAACCTCTCCAGCGCGTCTACACTGCAGAACATCATCTTGCCGAAGTTTAGTTTTGCCCATTCCAGTGACCGCGCGGCCTAAAGCATGAACCGTCTTCGCCAGCTCGAACACTGGAATCGTGTGTTCGAATCCCACTCGAGGCATGAATGTCTCTGTCCATTTATTTTGTGTTTGTGTTGTTCTCTTGTGAACACGGTAATGAACCTTCTGGTTCCATAAAATGCTGGGAAATTCTTGAGTAGCTGCAGAATTGGCGGCTCTTCCAGAAGGGCTCAGCTCCTTGAGTAAGTAAGTAAGTAAGTTTTTCTCTCTGTAGATAGAGGCCTTGCAAAGGGCTAATCCCCCGTTCAAGGAGTCCTATAGACTTTATATACATTACTCACTTACTCACGGAGCTGAGCCCTTCTTGAGAAGCCCCCAATTATGCAGCTACTCAAGAACTTCCCAGCATTTTGTGGAACCCGAAGGTTCATTACCGTGTTCAAAAGAGCCCTCCACTGGTCCCTATCCTGAGCCAGATTAATCCAATCCACACCATCCCATCCTGTCTCTCTGAAATCCATTTTAGTACTGTTCACCCACCTACGCCTTGGTTTTCCCAGTGGTCTCTTTACATCTGGCTTTCCCACCAATATCCTATATACATTCCTCTTCTCCCCCATTCATGCTACATGCCCTGATCATCTCATCCTCCTTGACTTGATAATTCTAATGATACTTGAAGAAGAGTACAAGGTATGAAGCTCCTCATTATGCCTATGTGTAGATGCAGAAACTGAAAAACCGGCCGAAGCCCACAAGGGATATAGAACCACAGATAGATAAATATTCCACAAATAATACAACTTAGAGAATAAGGGTGAAGGAACATGCTGATTGGATTAGTTCTGCAGCTTTGAAAGAATATCTTAAAATATGTATTTAAGAAGTTAGGAAAGGAATCTTAAACGACAGAAAACGATGTTTCGTAATAAAATAACAGATATTATACGCAATACGCCTAATACCTGAAATGACGAAGCTAACAATAAAATTTTTGGAAAACTCTCCCATTTATTCCCCATTTTGACTGTGATATCAGCATAATTTCAAGTCTTAAAAGAAACGACCTATTACTAAAATATTCCTCAGTTTGTGTTTCTACTGCCATTGAAATTCCGCTTAACACCGAAAGCATATTCTCCTTCTTTACTGCTTCAAGCTCATTCCGTCTTTCCCTTCATTATTGGATATTTTACCCTGTAAGGTTCTTAGCACTCAAAACTTCTTTATGGGCTAGACCCAAAGTTTCTTAAACTTTGGTTACGAATGCTATTAGAAGACAACATCTGGGCTTTTCTACCATCACGAATTAGTTGCACTCTGAAACAGGTAAGAGTCGGTGTGAAGTTTTCACAGCTCTTTAATAGCACCGGGAAAAAGTACGCCAGAACTTCGTATTGGGCTCATTGGCTTCGGTTTATGAGACGTATAGAAATAATTAACTTGCAGATTCGCGATGTAAGATTGTGCGATGAGACAGCCCAAAGCGTTCTAAATTCCTCTACTGGACTATAATATAATGCAATAGTACGAGACATTAAAAATCCATGTTTTCCTAGCCATTCTGGAAAACAGATGTAAGAAAATGAACTTATTTTACTTATTTTTTGGGCTCTCCTAGGAAGGCAGATAGGGACACTTGGTAGCGTAGTTGGTTGAGACAATATGCTAGAAGCCGGGAGGTCGCGGGTTCGATTTCCGATGAGGTCATTGGATTTTTCAATTGACCTAATTCTTCTAGCCGCACTATGGCCCTGGGGTCGACTCAGCCTCTAGCAGAAATGAGTACCAGGAATATCCCTGGGGGTAAAGGGCGGTCGGCGCGTTAGGCTGACACCCTCACCGCCATCTGTGAGCCTATTATCTAGAATATATGGGAGCCTCGGTGTCTCATAGTCCTATGGGCCTATGGAATAACCTATCTTTCGTTTAGAAACACAGATTACTTGTAATTTCTGCTGAATTGGGATTTTGTGAGTTCTTTTAGTAAATCATGAGGTTATCTTGAAAATGCTCTGTTGTCGTATGAATTCCAATTCGAAGAGACAGTTCTTCATACCTCCTTAATACGAAACAAGCGTTTTCAGAAGACTTGAACATGTCTGTAATCCCAGCCGTGAATTAAGACATCGGATACCTTCACAAAGTAATTATGTTTGACGTTAGGAATTTTCTAAATATATTCTTTATTCGTGTTGTTTTGCGTTTAGCATCTGCAGATCTCTGTTTTATATGCATATTGTCTTGTGTATCCTGGTAACGCGACGATAATAGGTTACGGTTTCGATAACTCGATTTATTGGAGTCTCGGTTCTGCAAGAATTTTCGCTTGTCCGCGGCGTCCAGACCGGCCTTGGGGCCCATCGGGTCTCCTGTATAATGGGAGTAAAGCGGCAGGGGCACGAAGCTGACCACTCACCTCCATCTAGTGTCGAGGTCAAGAATAAGTAGATCTATACATCCACTCCCCCATACGCCTTCTTGGCATAGTGCATAGTTAGTTAAGCACAGAGACAACTTTACCTTCTTTCATTAATTAATTTGGTTTCTGAAGATCGGAATTTCCCGATAAATTTCTCTTGAAGTTTCCCCACGTCGAATTTTAAGGAATTGTGTCTGATAGTTTAGGCCTTAACTCTAGGGCACAAATAGTCGAACAGACAGACAGACTGAACTTCCGTATAAGGCTCTTTATTTTGTAAAGAACGCTTAAAGTTTGAAGTCTTTTATAACAAGTAGACTGTGACAATACTGTGATCTGGGACACAAATAGACCAACAGACAGATATACTGGACTTCTGCATAATGCTTTTGTACCCGTACTTGCACGATGTTTCATAGCAACTCCTGTTTACTTCCCATTATCATGAACAACTCATGTATGCTTCAATGATTACAGTCGCTTGTCTGTGCGTGATAGTAATTCCGGGCGTTCGCAGCAATTTTGCTTTTTTTTTTTCCCCTTTTCGTGTGTTGGCATCATTGTGTGTAGGGATGCGAAACGCAGCAACGACAGTCACTTGTTTCGCTGCTTGAAGGTTATTGCCGGCTTGCACAGTTATACTCAGCTGCAGTGTTCAAGTGTGACTTACATGGTTATCTTTTCGCGTTATCATCAACAAGTTCTCTGAGCAGACAGTTAACCCCAGGGAATCGGTTTGCAATTGTACTGACTCCTGCTGCTGGAACAGGTGAGTGCCAGACACACTGTATTTCTGTTCTTGTGCAGTAAGGTCTAGTCTGAAATTCGTAGTTCTGGTTGAGGGACTGCACTCACTCTTTGCAAACTAAGCTGGCATAACACATTCTATTTTGATGCACAGATATTGAATATTTCCATAAACTAACGATCATAATTGCCGATCACAGTAGGAACGCGGTCTAAGGCATGAACCGCTTCGCCCGCTCATACACTGGGATCATGGGTTCGAATCCCATTGAGTCTCCGCTTTCAAGTACGAAACCGATATTTCTTGCGAAATTATGTTATTAATATGTAGATATGGTTTACTATTATTATAGCCCGCCCCTGTCGTCTAGTGGTCAGAGTACCTGGCTACAGATCCAGGCTTGCCGGGTTCAATTCCCGGCGCTACCAGATTTTCTGAGAAGTAGTGGGTCTGGAATGGGGTCCACTCAGCCTCGTGCAAATAACTGAGGAGATATTTCAAGGAAATAGTGGCTCCGGTCTAGAAAACCGAGATTAACGGCCGTGGGGATCCTTTGCGCTCTCCGCGTGACACCGCCTATCCACAAAAGTTGGCACTAACTTCGCCGAAAAGCGGCGATTGCTCGTTAGTTTTCAGTAAAGAAAGACATTTTCTTATGTAATGTGGGCTGAGTATTTCTGGAGTATTTTTTATTGCTAGTAGGGTGGGACTATTTTTTTTATTGCTAATGGGGTGGGACTAAATCCCTTGTACTGCGGCCACTTCTGGCCTCTTGTACCAGCCCCAGATGATATGTGAGGGTGATTGTGGAGCAATTGGTGGAATGAAGATTGGCAGGGGAAACCGAAGTACTCGGAGAAAATCTGCCCCAGCGCCACTTTCTCCACCACAAATCCCACTTGACCAGACCCGGAATAGAACCCGGGCCGCCGCGGTGGGAAGCCAGCAACTAACCGCTTGAGCTATGACGTGGCCATTTCTGGAGTTAAAAGCAGAGTTGCAGCCAGTTGAATGCAGTGTCCCGACTTGCGCACCTTATACTGTCTTTGAAGGCTCGTGGATTCGAATTTTCGAATTCCATCTGAGGCATTGATGTATGTCCAGTGTGCTTATATTGTCCTGTGCAGGTGTAGGCTTTGTGATGGCTGATCCCCTTCAGAGGAATCTTGCAAATCGTCTGAAAGATAAAAAAACTTAACAGAATTTACTCCAAATTTAAACAGACGAAAGGTCATAATCCGCGAAACTGAGTTAGAAGAGAAGTAGAGAATTGATATAGGCCTATATGACGCTAATTTCAGCACAGTCAAATGAGTCGGTCTTCCGTACCCGCTTCAGAAGTAGAAGATTCTGAGCCGGTGCATCTGGGTATCCGCAGAAACTATTTTTTTTTATCTCCTTTATTGACAATCAGATACTACAATCTTTTAGTCAATTTTCTGTCTTGTGTACAGTTAGTTAAGAATTGTACACTTCAGTGGCTTGAGTCGGTCACTTCCATTGACGCGTCCCTCAGATTTTTAGATCTTCTGGCCACTTTCGTCCAATTCTTCCGTGGTCGTGTTGCAGTAAAAGTGGCTGGAGCAGTGGGTTGGGGTGATCAGCTAATTTGCTGAAATGGTTGATGTTGTGTTCTTTGATGACTTCTGTGACGTACGGAACTTTGAGGTCGTGAATGTTGTGGTTAGACACGTACCAAGGTGCGTTTACGATGAGACGAAGAATTGACTGCTTTGTATATTAGCAGCTTGTTGTCAATGGATAGGTGAGATTTATTTTTCTATGAGCCAGTATAGGTCTCTGATTTTTTTTATCCATTAGCGAAATCCGATCCCAAAACGACCAATAATTCTCTAAGTATGTTTGCCCCACTTTCCGCGTGTTTCTTCTGCGTCTAATGGAGTTCGTTCATTCCCGCTCTCTCGCTTCTAATTCCACGGCGATGTGTTGTGATAATTCCGCAGTTTATAGAAACGTATAGATCTATTGTGCCGATCCCAGTGGTCTCGCGATCTAATGCCCGCTCGAACACTGGGGTCGTTAGTTCCAATCCCACTCAAGCCATGTACGTCTGTATTGTATGCGTTTATTCTGTGTGTAGGTAGAGGCCTCGCGACGGGCTGATCCCCCGTCCAAGGAGTCCTACAGGTTATCTAAAATTAAGAAACTGAAGTGAAACAAAGCGTTTCACAGATGTCCTGCGTTTCCAGTGGGAGCAACAGGAAGATACATAGATAGATAGATTAGATAGATAGACAGACAGACAGATAGATAGATAGATAGATAGATAGACAGACAGAGGCTAAGGAGCTCCTACTGCTAATAATTATATGCAAGAAGGAATATTACACTAAAAATTAGAAATATTAACGACCCCTACCCCACACTCCCTCAGAGGCGTGGAATGGTGGAGTTGAGCTCACACGTAAATTTTCTGCACTTCACTTTTTTTTTTGTCTTTTATTCTTTGTTGATTACAGCCAACTGCTCCTTTTGGGAATTTGGATGTAAGATGTGCTTTACTTAAATATTTATTATTTTATTTATATCAGGGGTCATGTATATCATTCTAGATTAACAGGAACACATCTTAAAAGCCGTCACTGTAAGAGGCTGTGGGGTCCCGTTGGGTTGTGAGACGTCGAGGCTCCCACATTATCTAGACAACCGGCTCACAGCTGGCGGTGAGGTTGTCAGACTTACGCACCGGCCGCCCTTTACACCGCAGAAAGATCCTTGGTACTCATTTCTGTTATAGGCTGAGTCGACTCTAGGTCCATAGCTCCGTTGGAAGGATTAGGTAAATTAGAAAATTCAGTGACCTCATCAGGAATCGAACCTGCAACCTTTTGGTATGTAGCGTAGTGCCCCAACCAACTACACTACTGCGCGCCCCAACAGATATGATTTATTTAATTGCTTTTGTCTTGTCTTGATCCACACCCGTAAAGGTATTCCATGTTGCAGCAGGGGTCACGTGAGTGGTTTAGTCGATTTTATGCTCGTTTTGTATGAACACCGCGATTGTATCGTATTTGGTAGGTTCTAATTTCGAACCCCGATCCCGACACCGTCTCTCCTGACAAAAGTTTGCAGATCCTATTGCAATTTCTTGAATAGCCCGATGGGAAATTATTTGGCGATGAATGTGTTAAACTTGTATATGCAATTACGAAGGAGAATCCTTCAGGCTTATGACTCAAATTTGCATATGCCTTATTTTTCGAGCCATGTGCTTGTCGGGGCACGCGTAGCGAAGTTGGTTGAGACACTATGCTACAAGCCAAAAGGTCGCGGTTTGATTCCCGATGATGTCATTGATTTTTCAATTGACCTAATCCTTCCAGCCGCATTATGACCTTGGGGGTCGACGCATCCTCTAACAGAATTGAGTACAAGGAATCTTCCTATGGGTAAATGGCGGTCGGCGCTTAAGGTTGACAACCTTACCGCCATCTGTGAGCCGTTTTTCTAGAAAATGTGGGAGCCTCGAAGTCTCACAATCCTATGGGCCTCCACATTGTGTTACAGGGATAACTTTACCATTTGCACGTGCTTGCCTTGGCCCTTGTTATCGACTTCAGGGCCATATCGCATTTTCATCATCTACTTCCCGGGACTGTACTGCAAGGCGTGTTCAGGAATGCAGCTCTGATTCAATTTCTATACAAGTTGTGTTCAGTTTTCTTCTGTATTGTTACATATATTCTTCAAGGCTTACACTGGGTTTGGATGGCGACTGGACTTGTTTGCTTTGCATGATCAGAGAGTGTGCTTCTTGTGTTTGCACCAGGGGGCGTCCCTAGGCGACATAGATTGCTCTTAATGTGCAGATTCATCTAGGCTTACGAGTTAATGACTTGTTCCTTAATTTCTATTCCTCTCCTTTTTTATTCTCTCTCTTCTCCCATGTATTCCCATCTCTGTCTTCCTCACTTCTCCCCCAAAAAAGACCATTTTATATGCATATTACGCTGACATTTTGCCTCGTCTCAAACTTCTGTGTGCCAACTTTTCTTTCATTTCCTGGCATCTTTCCTCATTTCCGCATGTTATAACGCATAATGTGGTCGCGATATTCCGAACCGGTTTTTCAATTCTGGAATCTCAGAGCGAAGGATTGAGAAGTGAATAAATTTGCACTGAAAAGCCCTTCGTAATACGAGAGAGAGTCAGTAAATATGCCACAGATGCAAGTAAAACAGCTCTAATGGACGTAATATGTTCTCTGTGTGTATCACTAGTTAGCAGCACAGTCCAGCTTCATGACAGTCTAGGTAACAGACGCGCATGCGCATGTTCAGATGTTGGTTTCAATAGTCAAATTGTCGACCGTGGCTGAGGAGTATCCTACCGAAGAGCAGCGTTCTGTTGTACGTTTTCTGTGGGCAAAGGAATAAATTAAAATTGTCAGTTAAATCGTAAGAAAATTTTTCGAACATGAAGGTTTCGAGTGTGTTACTCTCTTGAATATATGATACCAAGTCGTGTTATAAGACTGCAAAAAATTTGAGTAGCCTGGACATTGAATATTTCATTCATTTTATAACGTGTGCACCCGTTACAAGGTAGCGATAGAAAACAAACACGATCCCATGGCAACGGATCAACACCCAACAACAGAGGAAATGTTGTAAGCTCTGTTTTCTATGGTCCGCTCCGCGGCCGTTGCTATGGAACGGCCCAGTAAACACGTCTTTTCAGCAACAGTTGAACTACAGCAACGGTGTTTTCTACGCAGTCCGTGCCAAGGGGTTATAAGTGGGACAAATTTAGGAGTTAGAATAGTCGCCCGTCAATTTCTCAGTAATCTCAAATGTTTAGACTTTACCCAGTTGTAATAATACAGCATTCTTCCAACCCTCATTGCTAGAATAATACTCTTTTTTTCTCCAGAAAAACAATTTAATTTACTGGACATGAGTTTATTTTTTGTAATACACTGGCAGTACTTTAAAGGATGTCATTTAACAGTAACGGCGGAGTAGATAGGTGTTTTGTTTCTCTGCTTTTTGAGAGAA